CTGCCTAATAATTAATTTACTTTGAGTAAGTACGCGTTTTCCATGTAGGAAGGCGAACAGGCTGAAGCACCTGTGGAACCACCACCACCACCGGAACCAACACCAACCCCAGAACCAGCCCCAACTCCCCCGGCTCCCGTACCTCCGCCAGCGGAACCAGTTCCTGCGGCGGCACCTCCAGCCGAAGGTGGAGTTCCAGCAGTTCCTGTCCCAGCAGCTGAAGGTGTTCCGCCGGCGGACGGAACTGCGCCAATACCTGCTGGTAAATTCCTAGACCTTAAATATTTTGAAATATATAATAGTTTTCAAGATATTTTCATGGCACAGCGATTTGTCTGTTTATCAGAAAATTTTTCTTTCTCGAAAATCTACACAACGCGCCATCTTTATCTTTTTTATAATTATTAATTAATTAGAGAAGAGAACATTAAATTTTATCTTCTAAATGCACCATTTTGTATACTATTTAGAAGGTGTACCTGTAGTAGCCTCTGTAGAAGGGACTGCACCATCTATAGAAGGAGCTGCACCGCCGGTGGAAGGTGCAGCTCCACCAGTAGAAGGAGCTGCATCTGCAGAAGGAACGGGCATCCCATTAGGAGAGGGCGTATCTGCTGAAGGAATACCTCCAGCCGAAGGTTCTGCACCTATCGCTACTCCTGCAGAGGGTGCACCCGCAGAAGGAGCTCCTATCGCAGCTCCAGCTGAAGGTTAATTTTATTCTATTTATTTTTTATTTTTTTATCCTATTCTTTTATCTTATTCTGATTTTTTGTATTAATAAAATATTAATGTATTAATAAAATCTAAACTGTACATTAATTCTTTTCCAACCAAACACGCACCGCGTATGTTCCGTATAGAATACGTTTGTAGCAGAAGCAATTAAAAATTTAAATGAACAATCGGTAATAAAAGCTTTTTGTTGTCAATTTATAACAATATTACTTTATGCTAATTAATATTAAAATAATACAAAACAAAACATTCTGCTTGTCGAGGAATTATAAAAATGATTTAAAATATCTTTTTTGCATGTTAAAAAATTGATGTCGATCAGCTATTGCCAATATTTATGTATTGTTAATGTTCGCTGCTCTTTTATGTAGTTTTTGCGCTTGCAAATGGGCGTACTGCAATGGGAAATTGCATTGATGAATTTGTTATGTAAAATAAAAATTTTACTATCTTCAGTAAGATAAAAAAAATTGTGTAGGTGCGACACCAGCAGTACCAGTGGAAGGAGTTCCTTCAGCCGAAGGAGCTGCTCCTCCAGCAGAAGGAGTTGCTCTTCCAGCAGAAGGAGTTGCTCCTCCAGCAGTAGGTGCACCGGCCGCACCAGCTGAAGGAGCCGTACCTGCAGCTACACCCGCAGATGCGACTCCCGCAGTTCCAGCGGAAGCTGCACCCGCGCCGACCGAAAGTACGTGAAACATCTATGATTTAATTTATATTACTTTTCAGATTACACAGTGGAATTTTCGCTATAAACGTAGATATTTTTTTCTATTTTTTTTCATAAATCTAATAATTTTGTAAACGATCCATTTTTTATTCGAACATTGACGAAAATATTTTGAAATCGAACATTTCACATTTTGCGAGAAAGAGGAGATGCAGGAATTTTTTGATCGCCAATTCTACGTCACTTGACAAAATTGGCGTCGTATTAATTTTGCGTTTTTAACTTAATTTTTAGCTAATCTAGTTTTGATATTGCGAGTTACAATCCGCATCAGAAGCAGTCCCGCGCTAAAGAGCGCGAAATACATCATGAACGGTATGTCAAAGCCTTCAAGTATAAAATGCAAAGGAAACTAAAAAAAAATCATCGCACTCGGTAAACTAAAAAACAAAACTCTAGCGTTTTGGCATGTCGCGAACTGCGCGAATTGCGCACTGATCAGACATCATCCACGGCACTAGTGTTCATACAATTTCGGAGGAAAATCGATGAGAGCTACTCTCCTCGGCTTTATCATCGGCTTATCATCTTAGCTCTAGTTAATAATTTTGCACCTGTACTTGCCACGGCGGTCGCTTCCCACGTTAATATTCTCTCTCTTTTTTTCTTCCCCGTGTAGCACCCGCATCGTAACTGAAAGAGTGGAGACGAGGGGTCATCTTGTCTCGCATACTCTCCTCTCGTTGACGTCAAACTTTGCGGAACATCTACACAACGATAAAGATACGGATGTATGTGGAACCAGCACCCTACCTGACATCGCGGATCGCGCTTTTCTTATCGTCATCATCATTATCATTACCATTATCGCCAGCATCGTTACCATCATCTCCATCGCCGCCGTCGCCGCGCGTCGTCTCGTCGCTGTCACCTCCATCGCTCACGTCTTGCATATTCATCACTCATGCATCACGAAAACTCGCACGTGCCGCACGAGGTTCAAAGGAAAAAAAAAAACGAACAAGAAAAGGAGAGAAATGTATGCACGAGAAAGGGTCGCGTGTCACGGGCACGATATGTCTTGTGGTCGAGAAACGCCGACTCGACATGGGGCTCATATTTTCGCCTCGTATTCGTTATAAAAAACACGCATCATTAGAATGCCGAGAACGGAAAGGAAGGATGCTGTTCTTATTTGACGATGTCGCGATTGCTAATCAAGATTACGTCGAGCGTGCATTTACACACATTTCGTCACGTTCGCTCGAGCAACTTTTCCACCATGCGCGATCAAACAATTGCTACTCGTCGCATTACACTCAACACAGTACGAATAACTAACTCCACGTCGGAATAATCTTGTAAATAATCCATGGCACGTCTCTCACAATTCTCTTTACGCGGATATCGATACCAGAAACGGTTTACAAGAAATGTATACAAAAAATTGGATTTCGTAATAAAAGCTTTTTCTTCGACTATTGCGTTATTTTCCTTGTCCAACAGGCACGACTCTCTATCCCATAAAAAATGTACTTCGTTCTTTATTCGTAATTAGTTTGTTGTTTAAAGTATAATATTACTGAGAAAAAGATACTTCTGAGATACAATACAATTTATCTCACTAAAATAAATCGTTCTTTAAATTGCGAAATAAAATTTTATTTCTAGCCAGATAAACCATCTATTTCATTTTTTATAAATAATGAGATATATTTCATATAATTGTATATATCATTGTATATATCATTGCAAACAAACTTTTTTACAATTAATACGTATCGAAGAAAATGTTTACATTTGCTTATAAATATTTCGATTTTTTTATGATCACTCAATTCAGTCACTTGCACTATATTGGTATAACCTACTCTTATTATGATGTTTCCGAGATTTCTTTTACTTTATATGCAAAAACTTTTTCTTTTATAGAGATTTACTTAGTACTGTATTACTTTCCTTAAGTCTATTCTACAATGTGCTTTTTGTTTCTTGTTTTTTGCTATTTTTTACTTCTTGAGCTTTTTGCCTTTTATCTGGTTTTTTTATTTTATATCACCCGAGATAAAAATTAATTAACTTCAAAAGAAACAAGAAATATGTTTGAAGAAGTAAGAAATACAATTGTCAATAAAACGATTGCAAAAGAGAAAAAAGCAAAAGGTAAAAAAACAAAAAACAGGAAACAAAGAGCACATTGTAGAATAGACTTTAATGTCTAGCATTTTAATAGAAAATAAAATTTGTTTTCAAAATATTTCATTTTATTTATGTTTTTTTTTTACACAACACCCATGTTAAGTACGTGATAAACTAAAAAAAGGCTACTCATATAAATTACTTAAATGCATTAGCATAATACAATCAACTTTGAAGAAAAATATTCTATTAAATAACGTGATAATATCATTATAGAGTATTTAATCGTTTAAAATATTTATTATATATGCTTCTATATTTAACTTTGCTATCCATAATAATTGTATAATATAATCCATTGTATTGTAGCAACTTTTAGTGTACACTGTAAGTGAATTCGCTTAACATTCCTTAATATCGATATAAATTTGATTTTTATATTTCACGTTGACAATAACATCGTCTTTAAACGATCCATTTATATGATGTACAGATCTTATTACTTCTTAGGCCATAATTCAATGCTTATTGCCGGCGACAGTGGGTTCTTTTGGGGGCTTGACAACCATTTGTTTATCGCTTCGCTACGTGTTTTGCCCTTTGTCGTGCTTTGTTTCACGACACGTACAATAGATAGACGTACAATGGATGCCCTTTCGTAATGGAGTCTACATAGTGCTGTCTTATTGTGCGTTCTATCACCGCGGAATCTCTTTGCCGTTCATATGACATTTCCTTTTGCGCATGTATATACGTATATAAGATGTATGTGTACATAAAAGAGAAATAATCAATATCTTATGTAATGAATTACGTATAATGGAGGGAGATAAAACATGTGTAAAAATGCGTTTTTTAAAGTCGATCTCTCACACGATAAAATTGTAATCGGCGCAAAACATCAAAATTACAAATGTACAATGATATCATTATCATTAATCATCATCTATTATTTGATCTTGATTGTAAATGATAATTCAAGTTCATAGCTGCACTTTAGTTCATTTTGCGATCATATATATCAATAATTAGCGTAAATGTTTTCGTAATAATTCCAGTATAAAATACTAATATGTTCTATATAAATCAAAATTGGAAATGTAACGAAATATGAAAGTTTTTAATGATTGTGCGTTCCATCACATCGAAATCTCTTTGTTAATCATGTGACATTTTCCGTACATATTATAGGATATACACACACATATGAAATGTGTATGTACACACATAAGAGGAGAATAATCAATATCTTAATAATAAATTAGTATTGCGTATAATGAGAAATAAAATACGCGTATTAAAATCCACTTCTCACATAATAAAATTATAATCGATACAAAATATCAAAATTATAAACATATATATTGTATCTTTGTCCATCGTCGATTATTTGATCTTGATTGTAAATGATAATTTGCGCTCATGGCTACACTTCAGTTAATTTTGCGATCATATGTCGTAAATAATTGGCATAAATGATTTTCGTAACAATGTAACAATTCCAGCATAAAATATTTACATGTCCTGTGTAAATCAAAATTGAAAATGTAACGCGGTAATGCGAAAGTGTTTAATAATAATAATAATGTAATAACTGCATCATTATTAAATCATCATATAAAGTCGCGAATGGAAAATTTATCATTATCAATGAGCGGTAATTGAAATATTCAAGGCCCAATATTCGCATGTTGAAAATGAGGAGATAAAGAAGCGTTTGATATATTTTAATGGTTTTCATGAGATGATAATTGTGTCGGATCATAAAATTTCAAATTATGTATCGCGAATGTGTTTATTCTCGTGAAAGCTGTCAGAATTGAAAATAATCGTATGACGCCAAGGAGAATGACATACAACGGGATGTCGCAAACAACGGAAATATATCGCATAAAATCGAAATTGTATTTTGTTTCCGATGTGGCCGTAATGTAATTGAAAAGTAGCGAGTGAGGCGGTATTTAATGCGGTTATAACTATTTTTTACAGGCTAATTACTCGGAATTACGAAGTTGTAAATTACATACATATCTGAACGTGATCAGAAATCAAAGTATATCATGCGAAGTTGCATCAAGGTCGACGGAATATTGATTAGCGAAAAAAATAAAAGACTGAAGTAAATGAAAGAAAAAAATAGAAGACACATGCTGGGTTGATAAAAAAAGCGAAATAAATAAAAAAAAAAATAGTACTTTTAATAAAAGAAAATCACCCTAAAGACTGATATATTTTTGTGAAAAAACGATATGTGTAATTTATTTAAAAATGTAGCAACTTTGAAAATGTAATACCTATGGAAAGAAAATATAGAAATAAGTAATAGATTATAGAAGTAACATATTTATACACAGTATCCAAATTATAAAAATATTGTTCAAATTCAGAGTTTCAAAAATATTCCATTAAAAAAAGCTGCCAATATTGAGATGCATCACTTTTTTTTATCAACATAGTGCAAAATTAGAACTGTTTTCCGTTCTCAGGGTATACTTACTTCAAGCATACGTCGCACGGGAAAGAGCGCTATTTGACACAGTCCCAGTGAGCTTTACGAGACGATAATTGGGCGAAATTATAAAATTGCAAATGACAGAGGCGGGCGAACGGGCGTTTAACTTGCCGGCGCGTAGGAAATAATCGTGTGAGACCGCCCGTGAGATTGACAGGTATACGTATCGCGGGACTTGCTCCGAGCGAGCACAAGGAAGAACGGCAGGCAGCGAGGGCAAGAGAGAGAGGCAGAGTGAAAGAGTGTGAGAGAGGGGAGGGGGGAGCGAGTGACGCGCGCGCACTTCACGACGAACTATTGCCGCGCGCGACAGCGGCGCACTTCAAATCAGTCGCGCTTCGACCTTCGTCGTGGAGGGGTTTTGCGCGTGACTCCCCGTCAGTCGAGGCAATCCGTTGGTTGCCGTACACTGTCATTCGTGTACGATCATCGTTCTCATCGCGGATCCGTCGCGAGGTGACGTACGTCGATCAGAGACACGTCGCGAGTCAGTGTCGTATACAAACGTGATCGAGTTTTTTTTCCTTCTTTCGTTATCGGGTCAGTGCCAAGATACGCCATTACGCGAGTTCTACGCCGGCGGCGGTGACGCGCGTCGTCAGGTATCATCGTCGGTGGACTGCTGCTCGTGGCTGCCGTGTGAGATCTCAAAAACCTTCAGGTAAGTGTTGCACGTATATGTATATGTCATGTATGTTCATATCACACACGCATGCACGGGCGACAAGGAGACAAACGAGTGGCACGGCGCGGCGAAGAGCGCAGCGAATTGCCATTCAAGCCGCGCCAACTCACTCTGAGTTCCAGAAGCAGATTCCCACTCAAGTGCTCTCTAACTCATCATTTTATCCTTGTTTAGCATTCAATGAAAAACAAAGATAAAACGATACCTGAGTGGTATCCGGACATAGTTCAGATAAGAAACACTTGACGCCGCGTCGCGTCGTTTTCGAATTGTTCACATGACGTGATCACGTGACCGCGCGATCGCGGTCTTCCACTTTGGAGTAGAGACCTACTATAACTCGGAGTACTCAGAGTCTGGTTAGGAGATGGCGAACTTTCGAAAGACCTGTTTTCATCAATTTCAGTAAGTTCATAATGAGAAAGCATATGAATAATAGAA